TGCCTCCATTTACCTTAATTTCAATCACAACATTGGGTAAGGGAGCAAGTATTTGGAAATGTAAAAACAAAAGACGCCAAAATAAATCTGAAAACAGAAAATTAATAGAAAATAGAAATCACTCAAACATATTCAGCTGAGTTGAAGGGGGAATTAGGTACTGCAGTGGTTTCAATGATGCTGAAGGATTGCATTTGTTTAATTCTTGTGTTCTCAGTTTCACTGCCCTGGGAGCAAAGACCGAGATGTTCTGCCCTAGTTATAGTTTTGTATGCCAAAAGAAAGCTGGGCAGACAGAGTATATTAGTTAATATGAGGAGGTAGGTGGCACAGCAACAGAGCACTAGGCCTGGAGTGTAAATCTGGTCTCAGACACTTACTAGCTGTGTGACCCTGGGCAAGTCACTTAACCTCTGTCTGCCTTAGTTTCTTCATCTATAAAATAGAAATATAAATGGCATCTACCTCCTAGGTTTGTTAACAGGATCAAAGGAGATAGTATTTGTAAAGCACTCTGCAAGCCTTAAAGCACGATATAAATGCCAACTATAATCATCAGCATCATCATTAGTAGTAGTATTGGCTCCCCCACAGGTTTGACACTACCCCATGTTTCTCAATAACCTACATTAGGACTCTGACACTTAGCAGCCAACGACAGAAAGATAAGGTCTGTGGAAATCTCCCAGAGAGGTGAAACACCAAGTCAGAGCTCAATGCCAGTATGGTTTTTCAATGGAAGTTTGTGACTCAGTCACTCCTAGGAGACTCCCAGACTTGAGTATGGAGCCAACACATCTTAGGTTGTTTCTCAGCATCAGATACTTTCAGGTATCCTGGAGAAGGAAATGGCAAACCACTCCTGTATCTTTGCCAAGAAAACCCCAATGGGCTCACAGAGAGATGGACACAACTGAAATGACTGCACAACAACAACATTATCAGTTATTGAGGAAAGGATGTGGGGAGTATAGATGCTGGCCAATAAGAATGGAGATGATTGAGAATTTCAGACATACCCTCCTCAAGCTCTCCAACCACAGCATGTCTAATCATTAAAATGTACTCTGTCCCCAGGCACCCAGGGCATGTTCTGCACCCGATGAGTGCTAAGGATATTTGATGACTGGCTCACTATTTTCCTCCATCACAAATAACATGCAAGCTACTCAAGCCAGCATCTGACATAACAATTTGAGAGTCAGATAAATTTATCAACTTCCAAGAAAGAAAATCAGAACCAAAAAAAATTTTAAAAAGATGCTTTTTTTGCCACAGAGCAGTGGTTTCCAAACTCAGAAACGAAAAGGAGGGACATAGAGTCTGAAGGGTCTGAAGAGGATGTTCTTACTCTTTTTTTGTGTGTGTTACTGGTAGTCTGGTGAAGCCTTGGACCCCTAATCAGAATACTGTTTGGCTTTTTGTTTTAAATTCATATTTGAAGGAAATCCTAAATTTCAGTTAAATGTTAGTAAAACAAAAATAAACATGCAATTTTTTTCCATCCAAGTTCATTGATCCCCTGAAATCTCTCCATGGGCTCTTTAGGATTCCTGGTCTAACAGATCACCTAGAAAAAGTTATGTAGAGAGTTGAGTATATTTTGACAGAGTATTTCTCTGAACCAGCTATAAGGCAGGTAGGAAGTCGCAGAGTTACCAGACTCTCTTCCTGCCCTGCTCATCCTTCTCTTCTGTCTCATATGTGGATTGAGGGAGGGCAAAAAGAAAACCCAAGCTCAAGGTAGAAGAGATGCACTGGAAACTTAGAAGTCCGAATAACCTCCAGGCCAGGAGTGGGGAACTTGGGTCATAGAGGCCACATGTGGCCTTGTAGGTCCTCAGGTATGAGCTTTTGACAGAGTCCAAGTTTTACAGAACAAATCCTTTTCTTAAGGGGATTTGTCCTGTGAAGTTTGGATTCAGTCAAAGGGCTACATTTGAGGACCTAGAGGGTCACATGTGGCCTCAAGGCTGCAGGTTTCCCACCCCTGCTCTAGGCAATTGCTGGGCTATAATGGCGAGGGCAGTGAAATCTGCAGTGAAGAGGACTGGGCTTCGAATCCTGACTCTTCCCTTCCTTGTACCTCAGTTTCCTTGTTTGTAAAATGAGGTGCTGCCAAATGGCTATAAAACTGTGCAATACCACCCTTTGATCCAGCAGTACCACTATTAGGTCTATATTTCAAAGAAATTTTAAAAAAAAGTGGGAAAGGACCTATTTATACAAAAATATTTATAGTAGCTTTTTGTGGTAGCAAAGAATTGAAATTGAGAAAATGTCTGTCAATTAGAATGGCTGAACAAGTTGTGATATGTGATTATAATGGAATATTATTGTGCTATAGGAAATGATGAGCAGGCTAATTTCAGAAAAACTTGGAAAAACTTACGTGAACTGATGCAAAGTGAAGTGAGCAGAACCAGGAGAACATTGTACACAGTAACAGCAATATTGCATGATTGTCAATTGATAATCAGCTATTCTCGGCAATATAATGATCCAAGACAATTCCAGAGGACTCATGAGGAAAATGTCCACATCCAGAGAAAGAATTGATGGAGTCAGATCAAAGCATACTATTTTCACTTTCTGTGGTTTTTTTGTGTTTTTTTTTTCCCTTTGGGTCTGTGTCTTCTTTCACAACATGACTAATATGGCAATATGTTTTGCATAATTGAACATTTATAATCTGTATCAAATTGCTTACTGTCTCAGGGAGAGGAGAGGTGAGATAGGGAGAGAGAAAACATGGAACTCAAAATTTTTGAAAAATGAATGTTTAAAATTGTCTTTACATGTAACTAGGGAAAAAAATAAAATTTTAATTTTTCAATGCAGGTGCTGAACTAGATGGCCTCTAATTAATGCCTCTTCCAATTCAGGATTCTTCACTTCCTGAAATAAGTGGCATAATTCTGAATGGAGAACTTCACAAAAGCAAAACATACAAAAACATCGGGGAGAGCAAGGTGAACCAATATTCTTTTTATTATGACTACACCAAAAATATAGGGCACCATAGCTACCCGATGTCTGAAATTTGTCAAACTCATGTTTAAGAGATTCTCTTTAAGAAGAGAATAATATCTAATTATGGGAACAGGGGACTCAGTAGTGAACAGGAGGCTTCAGCCAGCTTATTCAGCACATTCTTTTGCCTTTATACACAAATAACTCAAAGGTCGTTGCTTGGCTAAGTAAGAAATTCTCAGTGTGAAAGAGTGTTCTTATCAGTGCTGGCCAGAGGTGATTAGTGTTGGGAAAGGAGATATATAAAGGGTAACTTGAAGTTTTGTTCTTTCAGTTTTTCTTTCCTTGAAAGCTGAAAGTTTCAATAAGCTCTCAAATTGGGAGACTAACTCAAGTTATCCTTCATATATCCCCCCTATTCATCCTTTAAGACTTCTGCCTCCTCCAGGAAGCTACCCTAAACTATTCTATTAGGTCTGTCTCTTCTAAACTCCTGCAACTATTAAGACTGTCTGAGAAAGCAGGAGGTGGGGTGGGGAGGAAAGCAAATGAGAAATATACAAAGGGAAGTTGACAAGTACTCCATTGATGATGTGAGTAAAGGCATCAATGGTATTCATAACCATTTTGTAGATCTTGACACAAACTAAGAGGTATAATTAATAGGCCCAATAATACATTCCGCCCACCCCAAATACTGACAAGCTAGACCATAGGGCTGACTTTAATAAGAATGAATTTACTATGGATGTATATAAAGTCTAAAAAAATCAACTTCGCAAGTATAAAATTGAGAAGACTTAGATGGCCACCAATGTGTCTGAAGAAGTTTGGAGTGGGATGAGGTAGGGAAAGAGAAGCTCAGCACCTTGGAACTGGCCAATATCATCTTAAGCTTCATTCACAGAAAATTCAGTTGTCTAGGACTAAGGAGTGTACTCTGTGGTCAGATCATACCTTGAGTACTGTTTAATTCCAGTTCTTTTAGGGAAACACATTGAAAAGCTGGAAAGCATCAATATGAAGGCAAGCAAGATGGTGAAGTCCCTTGAGTTGATGCCATATGAGAATCATTTGAAAGAAATGGTGGTGTTTGGTATGGAGAAGACTTATTGGGGAGATGATAGCTATCTTCAAGTATCTCAGGCTGCCAAATGGAAGAAGATGAAACTGTTTCTGCTTGGCTGCATGGGACAGAGCTAGAAACAGTGGGTGGAAGAGGTCAAGTCAACAAGCATTCTTAAGCACTCACTAAGTGAAAGCACTTTGCTAATCACCAGGAATACAAATATACGCCAAAAGAATGACTGTCCCTGACAAGGGAGCTCACCTTCTAATGGGGGAAGATAAAGCATAAAAGGAAGCTGAGAAGAGAGGAGTAGAGGTAAGGAGCAAGGAAAGCAATGGTGGGGAAGTCTGGAGAGTCAGGAATGGATATATAGTCAAGTTTAGGCTTGATACAAGGAAAAACTTCCCAACCATCAGATCTAGCCCAAATCTAAGTTAATGGCTGATCTTTGATTAGGAGGTCTTATTTAACCTAGGCTTCTTAGGGTATGGGACAGCTAGGTGACACAGTAGATAGAGTGCCAGGCCTGACATCAGGAAGACTCCTCTTCCTGATTTCAAATCTGGCCTCATATGCTTAGTAGCTATGTGACCCCAGACAAGTCACTTAACTTCATTTGCCTCAGTTTCCTCATCTGTAAAATGAGCTGGAGAAGGAAATGGCAAATCACTCTTGTGTCTCTGCCAAGAAAACCCAAATGGGGTCACAGAGAGTTGGACACAACTAAAACAACTGAACAGCAACAATTTCAGGGTATATTTTGAGCATAACCAGTTTGCCTGGCATGGAGCCTACCGTAATCCCTTACCACTTGGATGGCAGTAGTCTTCTTTGATTGGCTGTTCAAATCTTCAAAACTGGCAAGCCGGAGAGGGGTTACACTTAGTACCATGAGACCACAGAAAAGAATGCTTGGGAACTAGGAAGAGAGAGATTCATGGCCCCAGATATCACTTACTTTTCCATAGCTACCTTTTCCAATCACTTTCAAGAAGTCAAAGTCTGTTGGCCTGGCACTGTTGGAAGAGAAGAAGAACGTATTACTAATAAATCTCTTGTTCTGGCTTCTGGTACGTTAGGGAGCTGCCCAGATCTTCCCAATAGAAGAGTAATTCCAATCATTGAAGAGGAAACTCTCTGGCCACATTTTAGCTATTTACATGATAATGAAGAATGATTTGGACCCAAAGCAAATTGACTTTTCTCCACTTCTTGATGTATGTGTTATATTACAGAGGGAGAAGGAGGAGGGAAATGAAAGGGAAGAAGAAACTAAAGGCAGAGAGGTTGAGCAGAAGGAGTGCTGGCCCTCAAAGAGAAGGACCTCGAACATTTACTACCTATGTGACCTTGATTGGGCAAGTCATTTAATCTTCCTAGGCCTTAGTTTCTTTACTTATAAAATGAGTATGTGGTTTGGAGTAGACAGCCCTGAATTCTCTTCTGTCTCAGATCTCTGAGCCTTGACTAAATGAATTACTAAAATCCTGAAGGATAGCATGTTAGCATTTGAAATGAATAGGAAAAGAGAAGGGCATCTCTCACCAAAGACTATGAAAGTGAGAAGGAAGAAAATAATAGGTAAGTATAACTTGGAGAGAAAAAAAGTATAGTGTCACCAGGTTGAGGTCAGATTTGGGAGAGTGGGGTCCTCAGGATGACCTGAGTACAAATCCAGCCTCAGACCAAACACTTGACACTTTCTAGCTGTGAGACCCTGGGCAAGTCATTTAACCCCAATTGCCTAGCAAAAAACCAAACAAACAAACGAACAGATTTGGGAGAGCAGTTCAGGTGTGAAAGAATTCACTAGACATTCTCTGTAGCCAATGGGAGCTTTTATTTTACATGAAAAAGCAATATGGGCCCTGTTAGTGAGAGGCTAATGAAAAAGGCCCTGATATTTGGGAGGACCAGGCTTATATGAATAGAAAACAATACAGTCTGTAGCTGTTCAGGATGATAATATAATTTTAGGGTTTTTTATAGGAGTTGAAGATTAGGGACAGGATAAGGAAGAATTTTATGACACAAGAGGTGAGAGATGGTTGTTTACAAGATAAGGATGACTTTTATGACACAGAATAAGGCAGATGGTTGACAGGATAAGAAAGATAGGAGGACACAGGATAAGGAAGAAAAAAAAACAATTCTTTTGATCTTACAAGAAAAGGAGAAGTTTTACAGTATTTCAAGATAAGGGGAAAAGGACTTTAGGAAAACTACAGAATGAGCCCCAACCCCTTCAGAAAGGTCTTCACAAAGTTCTGGAAAATATTCTTTTTAACCCTTAGGGTACTGTATGCTATATCCACATCAACCACAAAAATGAAAAGAAAAAGAAAAAAACAGGGAAGAACAATATAGTTCTTTGTCAGGGCTGAGGACAGCTCTTCACTACACATTATTAATTCACCTTCCTAAAATAAAGCATCTCATTCATTCCACAAATACCTGATTCAGTACCCACTGTTTGAAAGAAGAGGGAGACAGAAGAGACTCAATTCCTGTGCTCATCCATAAAGTTGGGACTGGACTACATATGATCTTTAAGGTTCAACTGTCCTATGATACTCAGTTGTTTTCAGCTTAGCGAGCTTAGAAAAGTCATGTACAAAAATAACTGCAATGCAGGTCAGGATGTGGCCAGTGTCTAAAGACTGAAAGGTACAGAGAACAGTGTGAACACAGATGAGAAGCGAAAGTTTACTTTCCTCCAAGGCATTAGGAAAGGTTTCCTGAAGGAGACTTCATGCCAACTGGCCCTTGAGAGATAGGATTTCAACAGGTGGAGATGGGAAGAAAACTTGCCAGGAAGAGAGAAATGCGTGGGTAAACATGCAAAGGCAGGAAAGCACAGGGTATGTTTGGGGAATAGCCAATTATCTACTTTAGCTGGAGCACTAAGGTTAGGGAAGGATAAGGTTGTAAAAGTACGTGGCAAATGCTGGATCCTGCAGCAACCTGAATATCAGGGTAAGAAGTTTGGTCTTTGTTCCCTAAGCCAGTGATTTCCACAACAGGGGAATACCAATACCCCAGGGGACTTTCGATCAACCAATCAGAGGGTGGTAAAATGGGTCACATCCTATAGCCAGTCCTGGCCTTGTCTCTAACCAGCTATACCATCACCTTCACCCATTATCGACCAACTCTCCCCTACTCTGCTCTCTTTCATGTTGGCCTTCCATTTCTGGCACTGACCCCTCAGGCCAGTTAAAACCTAATTCTGCAAACCAAGCAGCTGGTAGTACAGGCAAAACTCCTTGCCCCATCTACTGTTCTCCCATTTCCTCCATTTCCCATCTCATCCTAAGGGCCAGGCTCTGCTTCAAAGAAGTGATGAGTGAGAAACAGCCCTACCTCTCAAGCTTTTCCATTTTTTTTTTTGTGGTATAAAGTGAGCCATGGAGGATAAGCCAGTATGGTTGGGTGGTTACCTTCCCCTTCCTTCCAAACCACCCCTTTTCTAAACTTCCCTATTATTCACCACCCACCAACCTTCCAGTTTCCTAGGTTTGCAACCTCAGCACCACACTCCGCTCCTCACCCTCCTTTCCCCCATCTATACAATCAGTAGCCAAATCTTATTTCTTCTTCTACGTGATCTCTCCCCTTCTCTTTACACACATGGCTTATCAGCCTAGCTCAGGTCCTCATCACCTCTTGCCCAGATTGTTACAATAGCCTGACTGACATCTCCCTGCCTCAGGTCTCTCCTGTCCCCTCTCAAAGCCATCGGTTCACTGAGATTCTCCCAGAGTGCAGATCTAACCATGTCATTCCCTTATTCCATAAACTCCAGTGACTTCCAATTAACTTGTTTAGTCAGTTAATTGTAGTTGACTCTTCATGACCCCATTTGGGGTTTTCATGGCAAAGATGCTGGAACGATTTGCCATTTCCTTCTCCAGCTCATTTTACAGATGAGGAAACTGAAGCAATCAGGGTTAAGTGACTTGCCCAGAGTCACACAGCTAGTAGTTTCTGAGGGCCAGATTTGAATTCAGGTCCTCCTGACTGCAGGGCGCTGCTTTCCTATTAACTCTTAAGTCATATTTGATTAAGGATCAAATATTACTTCATCTTCATCTCATACTTTTGTTAATCTATTTTATATAGTTACATAATGAACATCATTATTACAGTAGTAGTACATGTAAATAAATACATAGCAGACATGTATACTCAACATCTTTCATTTACACGGAAGTCTGAAGACCACTGCACAAGACAATGGGGAGCCAAGTGAAGGACTTTGAGCAGGGGAAGTATGTGTTTTAGGGAGACTGAAATCTGATAGTTGTTAGTGTGCAAAATGGATTGTAAGCAGGAGGTTAGAAGAAGGGAATCACAAAATCCATTAAGTAACAGACATATTTTCTCCCATCCAGAGGCCTCAGTTTCTTCATCTTTAAGAACTTACTTTGGATTTGCTGAAGGTCCCAAGTTAATATTTCCATTGGGTGTTGAGGTCTAAAAAAAAATTTAAACAAAAGTAAAAGTTATTTAAAATCACTTTTATTCCTTTAGTATTTTCTTTCTCAAAAGCCACAAACAAGTCTATAAAGATTTATTTATTCTCCCATTTGTGAAGTAGAAAAGGATCAAGTATTGTCCTTATTCAAAGATGAAGCAAAAATTATTTTTTTCTCCTGTTACTTAAAGAACAGTTGTGGGATAAGTAGTTCTGAAACCCCAGGATTCCAGAATCCGGCTTTTTGCCCATTCACTGGGCCCACAGTTTTCAATTGGAAAGAATTAGAAATTCTGAATAGGCTGTGCCCAAGAGGGAATGAAAAATAACAGAAGTGGCAAATCCAGGAGGATTCAGGGATCGTTCTGCCTAGCAGCACTACCACTAATTTCATATATGAAGCAAGAATGTAAAATTAGTTCCCTCCCCCCATCTAGTAGTCTGATCGTCTTGGGGAGAGTCAATGTATACTCTGTTTATTTTTCTATGTTCCCAGCCCAACTTTGTACAGTGAGGCAGGCCTCTCCTTACAGCTCTGCCGCCAAGAGGTAGAGAGGTAATAGGCAAGACTTCCAATACACCTAATTACATAATTTCCCAAGACCACTATGAACAAGAGACATAGAAAAAGCCCAGCCTTCACGAAGTTTATATCAGTAAGGGACAGTTTCTTCCCTTCTCTCATCTTATGAATATCTGACGCTAGGGGTTGTCAGAAAACCAAAGATGAACAAGATGCAGGTCCTGTCCTCAAGTCAGCTGTCAAGTGAGTAGATTGGAATCGATAGCCTCTAAGGTTTTATCATCCTAGGATGTCCTATCATTTAGTTTGAAAGGAGGTCAGATACTAGAGGAGAGAAGTTCCTAAACGCAGATCCCCAGCTTCAGTTTCTTAGAAACTGGCCAGTAACGCATTTAGTAGCGGATGAATAAATGAATGACTAAAACATTTATTAAGCACTTACTATGTGCTGGGGAGATAAACAGAAAGGTTGGACAGACCCTGTCCTCAAGGAGCCCACATTCTAATGGAGGAAGACAGCACTCCTGGAAGGTTTCAGCTCCAAGTCAGAGGGAAGCCTCATGGTTCTTAGGGTAAACTGAAAAAACAGTTGGCAGCATAGCTTCCTTAAGAAGAGTTTTTAAATGTCATTCCCACTCAAATGTCATTACCACTGATAAAAACCTAACAGTGTCTGATGATGTAGCATTGAGGGTCTCCTTCTACTTTTAGCCTCTGCTTCCTTACCAAGGGTTCTTAACCTGGAATCTCTGAACTTTTTTTCTTTTTAAAGTATCTATCTATCTATCTATCTGTATCTATATCTATATCTACGTAGAATTGGTTTATTTTATAATCTCATGTATTTTATGCATTTTAAACCATGATTCTGAGGAATCCATAGGTTTCATCAGATTATCAGAGGGGAAATAAAAGGCTAAGAACCCTTGCTCTAGACTTTCTATACATAGAGCATATCTAATTCAATGTGTTTTCTATTTTCTTCCCAGATTCCTTGGGCCCTGGATATACAGACCTAAGGGTAACAAATGTGACTCTGTGCTTATACACGGAACCTCTCATGTTTGGAGAACAGGCTCTTCTTGTGACAAGAAGGAAGTGGAGGAATGAGGGGAGGTCACCCATTCCTGAAAGCTGGAACTAGAACCAAGGTGGCGCAGTGGATAGAGTGCTAAGCATGGAGTCAGAAAGACCTGAGTTCAAATCTGGCCTCAGATACTTACTGGCTGTGTGACCCAGAGCAAGTCACTTAACTTTGTTTCTCTCAGTTTCCTCATCTGTAAAATGATCTGGAGAAGGAAATGGCAAACCACTGCAGTATCTTTGCCAAGAAAACCCCAAGTGGGGTCAGGAAGAATTGGACACTACTGAAAACTACCAAACAACAACAAATCCTGACTCCAAATTCAGTATTCTTCCCATGTATCCACCCCCCTATTCAATAAACTCCAGTTTATTACCTATTACCTCCAGAATCAAATACAATATTCTCTGTTTATCTTTTAAAGCCCTTCAGAGCTCATCTTTTGCTACCTTTCTACCTTACTCTCCTCCATGTACTCTCTGATCCAGGGACAGATTGTTTGTCATACAAGATACTCTGTGTCCTGACTTGCATTTTTATTGGCTGTCCCCCATCCCTGGAATGCTCTCCCTCCTTCTCTATACCTCCTGGCTTCCTAGATTTACTTCAAGACCCACCTAAAATCCCACCTTTTTTTTTTTTTTTTGCTTTTAGGCAATTGGGGGTCACACAGCTAGTAAGTGTCAAGTGTTTGGTCTGAGGCTGGATTTGAACTCAGGTCCTCCTGACTTCAGGGCCGGTGCTGTATCCACTGCGCCATCTAGCTGCCCCAAAATCCCACCTTCTGCAAGAACACTGTCTCATAACCCCTTAATGCTAATGCTTCCCTTAGAGATTATCTCCATCTTGTATCTATCATGTCTGTACATAATAATAGCTAGCATTTTATAGCACTTTAATGTTTACACTTAGAGGCAGCTAGATGACTTAGAGCAGAAGTTCCCAAATTTATTTAGCCTTTTCAAAAAAAAAATTACTTCAGTGCACCCTTGGAAATCTATTTTCCTTAACCCTTTAACGGGTTTTTTTTTAATACATCATTTCAAAAAAATACAAATTTTTTTGAAATGATGCATCTTAAACTTAATAATATGTGGGGTTTTTCCTGCATTGAAATTTTGATGACACACTATTGCTTCATGTAACTATTTAATATCATATTGTAAACAAGTCATTACATGTACATATTCAGGCAGATACATGCTGGACTTCCTGACAATGCTCTGCACACTGGCCTACCAACACTTAAGACCTTAAGTTAAGACCTGTCCGTGACCACTGATTGGTTATAACTTGCATTTTATGTGTTTTGGAAAATAATGTAATCACTATGACTTTAACTCTGTTACACAACAGATAAAACATGTATGAATGGTTTTTAAAATCTTATCTTCTTTCCTTATGGTTCCACTGCCCCCTTATTTCTATTCAATGCCCTCCAGTTGCACCCGAGGCTACTACTGCCCCCCATCCCACCCCCCAGCATTCCAGCACCTCTCAGGGGCAGTATCACCTACTTTGGAAACCTCTGGAGCCTTAGTGAATAGAGTGCTAAGCATGAAGTCAGGAAGACCTGAATTCAATCCAGCCTCAGATACTTACTAGCTATGTGACCCTGAGCAAGTCACTTAACCTCTGTTTGCCTTAATCTACTGGAGAAAGAAATGGCAAACCACTCCAGTATCCTTGCCAAGAAAACCCCATGGACAGTATGGTCCATATGGAAATGAAGAGTCAGACACAACTCAACAACAAAAGGCTTACAAAGCACTTTACATGTATCTCATTTTATCTTCATAATAATTCTGGGAGGTAGGTGCTATTATTATCCCTATTTTACAGACAAAGAAATTAAAGCAGACAGAGGTCAAGTGTCTGTCTTGCCCTGCCACACAGCTGATGTATATGTCTGTGTATAAGTATATATGTATATGTATGATACATGCATGTATATGTATATATATGTATGTATGTATGTGTGTATACATAGATAAAGATATAGATATAGCATAGTTGTTTGCATTGCTGTCTCTCCCATTAGATTGTAAGCTCTTTGAGGAAAGGGGCTATTTTTGCCCTTCTTTGTATCCCTAGGGCTTAGCATAGTGCCTGGTTCATAGCAGGTGCTTAATAAAAGCTTCTTGACTTGGCTCACTTCGTATAATAATATTTCATATAATAATAGTTAATATTTACATAATACCTTATGGTTTGGAAGGCACTTTACACATATTACCTCATTTTATCCTCACAACAACCCTGGAAGGTATGTGCTATTGATGAGGATAGGAGCTAAATACCAAAAAGGAAAGATCCTAGACTTTCCCATATGGCCAAATCTCTGGTGTTTGCCTGAGGCTATAATCCCATCAACTAGCCTTTTTTTTTTTTTAGTCTATTGAGGTTAAGTGACTTGCCCAGGGTCACACAGCTAGTAAGTGTCAAGTGTTTGGTCTGAGGCCAGATTTGAAATCAGGTCCTCCTGACTTCAGGGCTGGTGTTCTACCCACTGCGCCACCTAACTGCCCCGAACTGGCCTTTCTTTGTGGCTATACCCAATCTCCCAATTCTGTTACCCTTAACCTAGCCTAGCCCTCTCTATGGCCCTGGCCATTTCCCACACTTAAACCTAGCTAGGCTCCATTGTCCAGGTCCCAGGAGTCCTGTTCACCCCAGTTTACTGACCATTCCTATTCAGATATTCATTAGACTCCTCCTCCAGTTACCCCAAACTACTTGGCCACTCCTAGATCCCTCCCACAGTCTTTCTGTATATAATGTCCATCTTGTCTCAAGACATTAAGGTGCTCAGATTCTTATAATCTAGCTACTGCTCAGATTTTTATGATCTGGCCAATAGCTCATAGATGCTCAGATTCCTTAAGAGTCTGGCTAATATGAAGGATCTTTAATAAACCTTGTCTTTGGCTGAAAGAAGACTTGGGTCAAATTCTTTCAGGTAGGATCTATGTGTTGTGATTTGGGGGTCCAGCACCCCTAAACCTCTAGACCTCATCAATGTATAAGACTCACTCAGTGACATCTCTACTCAATGCATTAGCCCTGGCAGACTAGCCAAAGGAAGGTTAAAAATAAAGTGATACACGAACCATTTCCTGTCTAGAAAAAGAAGGAGGTTTAGCAAAAGGAAAGAGTCTTATAAAAAATACAGATGTGCTCAGAGAACGTAAATAAAAGGCTTAGGCCCTTTGAGTCTTCAGGAGTCTGGTGGAAAGGAGAATCCTTTTTCTTGCTGTCTTCTAACAGAAAGACAGAGACACCTTCCTATACAACCTGAGCCAATCCCAGAGAGCTTGAAATCTTTTAAGGGCCATAGACTGGAAAGTCTGGAAGAAATCTCAGAAGTCAGGGAATCCAACTTTTAATTTGAGAAGGAATCCCATCTTCAATATCGCTACCCTATTATCCACAATGCAAACCTAATTTTCAGTTATAAAACACAACTTACATTTAACCCAAACCAATTTTTCATGCAAAATAAGACTAGAAGTTGCAAAGCAGGTGTTGGCCAGCATTGACAGAGGGAATCTACTCACCCGGGCATTTCCTCTACCAATGTAACCTCAGATCCAGTTTCTAATAGAAAATGAGCAATGCCAGACATCTTAACCATATGAATGTCATCCCCAGTCCCCTCTAACCTATCTTTCCAAACTTTTCTCTCACCTCTACTCTACAGTAACCCTCTACTGCTACCATACAGTTCATACCTTTACCTGGGATAAAATCCCAGTCCCATCACAGGCTCATAGATTTAGAGATGGAAGGGACATTAGAGCTCATTTGTTCCTGCCTCTACTTTGCAGATGAAACTAAGGCCAATAAAAGTGAAGTGACCTGCCTAAGGTCACAGAAGTAGTAAGTGACAGAGCCAGGATTTGAACCCAGGTCCCCAGACTCTACATGCACTGCCCCTTTCACTGTACCCTTCCCAGTGTGACCTCTCTCCTGGGTGAGAGTAGGCAAGAAGGACATCGTAGTGCTGGGCTTAAGCAAATTAAATTCCCAACACTCCAGCCCACTTCCTTCCTTCTCCAGAAATCTCCCCTGGCATCATTTTGTTTTATTTTATTTTATTTTTAGGCAATGGGGTTAAGTGACCTGCCCAGGGTCACACAGCTAGCAAGTGTCAAGTGTTTAGGCTGAGGCTGGATTTGAACTCAGGTCCTCCTGCCTTCAGGGCCGGTGCTCTATCCACTGTGCTACCTACTTGCCCCCTCTGGGATGGGCTCCTGGTGTATCTCCCCCTACCCTTTTCTGCCTCCTTTTGTATGTTGCCTCCCCCTTTAGACTGTAAGCTCTTTGAGGGCTACAGTTGTCTTTCTTTTTATTAATTGCATCCCCACAGCTCAGCACAGTGCCTGGCACATAGTAAATGCTTAGTAAATGATTATTGGATTTGTTGGATTGCTCCAAAGCAAAACTAGTTTTAACTCACCCGGAGGCTAGGAATTGCAGAAGAATCCATTGTAAAACGGCATATCTCTCAGCACTACAGACAGGGTGGAAGGCCCCCTACTCAAGTACTTCAACTTGTACTCCTTCTCTCCACACCAAAAGCATCACCCAGTCTCAGAAATAACACTCTCCCCCTTTCCCTTTTTCTGAACACCTGCCCCAGCCACAAGCCTCTCCACCCTTCAGTATAGCCAGGAGGCCACAGACCCATAGAACTTGAGAGCAGGAGAGGATCCTAGATATTATGAAACCCAATCCAGAAGAGGAAACTGAGGCCCAGAGAGAGGAAAAAGCCTGCCAGAGGTCATCCTGTGTTAGTGACAGGGCCTGGACTAAAATCTGAGTTTCCTGACTCTTCGTACAGCTGTGCTAAAAGCAGCTCAGAGCATAGGGTCCCACTCTTGAGCCTTCCACCCTCGTTTTTAATAGGGGTAGATACAGAAGGCCTTCTTCCCAAAGGTCACTCATTATAAGCAGAGAATGAAACTCAGCACCTCAAAAAATACATTTTTTTTATGTAAGAAATTTTTTTTTACTTCTGAGAACAGATGCATTGATTTTGGAAGGATATAAAAATATGTCCATGTAGCTTCCTTCCCTGCAACCCCAAAGGGCCTAAATCTTGAATGTCAGGGCCTTAAAATGTGAAAGTATTGTATAGCAGCAATACCAACTTCAGCTTACCTGGAGGCTAGGACTTGGAGAAGAATCCATTGTAAAACAGCAAATCTGTCAGCACTGCAGACTAGAGAAAAGGGAAAAAAAGAGGCAGGGATTAAAAACTTCCTCCCTGCCTTTCCCTTCCCCCTCTCTTTTCCCATTCTTTCCCCCCTCCCCCTCCTCTGAACACTTAAATAATCAAAGGAGAGTTCCCAGGTATTGTAAACCTCCACACTTCAATGTTCGGACTGGCAAAGCCCAGCCTCCTGCATCCCTAAGGGCCACTCGAATCCATCTCCAGCCCAGTGGCTGATCCCTTTTGCCCTCTCTGGGGCCTGGAGCCAGTAATGTCTGATAGGGCTCAATGCCCCATCCATTAAGCCTCTTAATTTCCCAGTTCTTTTCCTTCAGACTAAAGCTATTCCCTTTCATCTCCCCATCAGAGCCTTGCTGGGTCTCCTACAACTTAGTCCTCATAGGCACAGAAAGGGGAAGTGGGGGGAGGTGTGGAGAAATTCACAGGAATATGAACCTTATGACAAGGAGTAGGTCAACCACGACCACCAAGAGCAGGGGTGTGGAGGAAGGGAAGGCCAGGACTCCTGCTCAGGTCCTTTTATTTATCCAACCTTTCTCCACCCCAAAATCATCACCCAGTCTCAGAACTGACACCCTCCTCCTTTCCCTTGTTCTGAACACCTGCCCCAGGCCAGGGAACTTTCAGTCACAACCCCTTCTACATTTTAATAGAGGCAGCTGGTCATAGGCCCACAGAACTTGAGAGCAGGAAGGGACCCTGGATGTTATCAAACTCAATCCTCCAGAAGAGGAAACTGAGGCCCAGAGAGAGAGAGGGAAAAGCCTGCCAGAGGTCATACTGTATTAGTGACAAGGCCTGGACTTAGAATCTGAGTTTCCTGACTCTTAGTACAGGTGTGCTAAAAAGCAGTTCAGAGCATGGGGTCCCACCCTTGAGCCCCCACCCTCATTTTTAACAAAGGTAAATATGGAAGGTGTTCTTTTCAATAGCCAAGCATAATAAACAGAGGGTGAGACTGTAGTACCTCAAAATCTTCGGAATCTTCTGCCTGCCCTTCTCCAGCCCCCTTGGTCTGTGAGTTCTGCAGAGGCACCCAATCGTAGTTAGCTGACAATCAGGAGACCTATTATATACTCATCTACGTTTTCCCCGATAACTTAGTATCAAAGATCAATGGAAAATGATGAGCCTAAGTCAGCTTTCAGCCAGTCTCAGAGGAAGGATTGGTCCCCAAGTGATGACAGAAGCCAGCAATCAGTGCTGGGAACCTGTGACCCCAGGCAGCAACGGAGAAGTTTCTCTTCAGTGTAACCAACAGCCAGCAGAGGCCCAGGGAGTGACCAGCTGGGCACACAGCTCACCTTTGCCTCCTTTCCCCAGCTGTTACAACACACCCTTCTCCAGCCCACTTGCCCCACCGCGGCCGACTTGACATTGGAAGTTCAGTAATGACACGGTTGGGGGAGGTGAGGTGAGGCAAGGCGGGGAGGGAGGAAGTCTTTCTGCCTACTCAGTGAGAGTGCAAGCACCCTGATTCTCATTTTGACATGGGGTTTGGCCTTAAGAGAAGCCCTGAAGACCCGGATTATTCCTAGACTCGCAGCTGTCAGTGGCACAGGTGATAGCTGTGAGAAATCCAAGCCCTGAAGGACAAACAGAGTCACAGTCTCCCAGAGCTGGAAAGGGACCTTGGAGGTCACCTAGTCCAACCCCCTTCACTGGAGTAACTTTTCCACAGGCACGCAAGCAGTAAACGATAGAGTTGGGATTGGAAAGTGGATCCTCTGGTACCAAATCCAGCACTTTTTTCACCATATTATATCACATAATTTCAGAGCTGAAAGAGATCTTTGAACACAGAATGTCAGAGCTTTTGCTGCGGTAGCTGTTCAGTGGTTTTCAGTCATGTTTGCTCCATTTGGGGTTTTCTTGGCAAAGATACTGGAATAGTCTTCCCTTTCCTTCTCCAATTCATTTTACAGATGAGGAAACTGAGGCAAACAGGGTTATATGACTTGCCCAGGCTCATACAGCTAGTAGGTGTCTGAGGCCAGATTTGAACTCAGGAAGACGAGTTTTCCTGACTCTAGGCCTGGCGTTCTATCCACTGCACCCACCTAGAAGAGACCTTATGGTATAGAATGTTGGAAGGATCCATAGAACACAGAATGTTAAGAGTTAGAAAGGTCCTTAAAATATAAGAAACAGAATGCTGAAGATGGAGGGGATGTTCAGCACTCACCTAGTCAAATCTTCTCATTTTACAGGTGAAGAAACTGAGGCCTGGAAAAAAGATATGACATATCCAGTGTTATACAATTTAGCAGTAGGCTTTTTCCACAATACCATACTGTATTTCCCACAGTCCTGGTCAGTCCTTAATAGCTAAACACACCAAACACACACACACACACACACACACACACACACGCAACTTTGTAGTAATTTGAGAAAAGGAAGACCAGAGAAAGAGCAAATGCACCCTGTCAATAAAAGTAAGGGAATTAAAATCTGTCCAGAGATTTTCAGCCCTGCTCTTTTCTTCCTCCCCTTCCCTCTTCTCAGGCTTAGTGCCAAGGCTGTGGGAAACTTTGCTTTCATTAAAAGTTTTATTTATGCCCTCTCTTCCAGTCCTCTCCACAGTTCTATTGTCAGCACTAGTCAGAGAGCATTGGTGTGTTGTATTTGCCTACTCAGAGAAAGTCAAATACAGAAGTAAGAAAGGAATGTGGCAGATTCATAATCTCAAATTCCAGATCCTAAGTTATTGACTGTAAGCAGGACTGAGCACCCTTCGCCTTGGACTCAAGCCATTTCAGGGGTGGGACCATAGTTCAGGCAGTATCAGGGATCAAACCAAGAGCCTGGGCCCAAGGACAGTCAATAAAAAGTATTTCTGTTTGGTGTTAAACACCATAAGTGGGATTGGCCAGCGGGAAGGCAAGATCTGAAACTGTCAGATTTAGGCAACACTCTACCTGTACTAGAGAAGGAGTTATAAATGTCTCCCCTCCTTCCTCCATTTGCTCTGCCCTCCTCCCGTAGGTAGTCAGAGGAACTTCCAAGGTCATATGGTTTTACTGGAACCAGCAGGTGGGAAATACTCAAAAGCCAAGAGATGGAACTGACCTGTCAACTTTCCCTGGGACCAATTGGATACTGACCTCACTTAGGAGCTCCAGACCCACCCCTTCCTGAGCTGATCCCAGGGCATTTTCCCAGGCTGGGCGAAACTCCCTACTTAAGGCACTTCACTTTGTAGGCTGCTTGAAATTCACAGAATTTTCAGAGATATATCTTAGGGGTCATGGTCATTAGGGCTAAGCATAAACTCCTTTATTTCTAAAGTTCAGATTTCAACCAGAGATGGAAACACTGCTAAGCACAAAACCAAACCAAAACAAAAAACCCTATGAATTTCCCTGCTCCAAAGGCTTCCTTCCAAAGTTTTTTGTCTACTGGAGGAAACTATGCCTCTTCATAATACAATGTAAACTCTTTGAGGACCAAGATAGTTTCATTCTTGTCTTGCCTCCCCAGTGCCTAACACATTGCTTTGCACAGAGTAGGTGCTTAAATATTTGTTGAACTAAAAAAAAAAACCCAAATATTTATAAGATGCTTAATCTGTGCTTGGCAGTATGCTAACAACTCATCCCCTTCAAAAAAAAAACTTCGATAAGACAGAGTTCTGGCTTTAATGAAATTTACGATTTGCAAAGGGAGAACATGCCAGCACAGATAGCTATAATATAAAATACATGATAAGTGCATTGGAGGGGAACAAAGTGCCATATGAGGTCTGAGGGAGACAATGGTTAATGTAGTACCTACCTCCTGGGTTTGTCACAAGGCTTAAATGAAATAATTATACATGTAACAAATATAACAAGTAAGAGAAGTATACATGTAACAAACTTTGAAGTGCTCTATAAATATTATTTATTATTACTATTGTTGGTGGCAGGGAATCAGGGAAGGCTTCCTAAAAGACATGGCATTTGGGCTGGCCTTTAAAGGGCAGCTAAGAATTCAAAAGGTGAAGAGAGGAGCAACCTCATTCCAGGGATGGTAGAAGTGGGAGAGCACACCAGGATGTGTTTGGGGAGGGGAGAGGCTGCATACAGAAAGTTGTCCAGTGTAGCTGGAGCAGACAACGTGTGATGGAATATGCTATGAGATAAGGCTGGAAAGGTGGGCCAGTGTCTAATTGTAGAGAACTGTGCCTGTCAGACAAATAAATGAATCTGAACTTTACCCTGAAGATTTCTGAGCACCTGATCAAATCTATTTGTAAAAAAAAAAAGAAAAAAAAGATCATTCTGGAAATGTTCATGAGAAGAGTTGGATTAGGAGAGAAAGTGCTGGCAGGAATTGTATAGGCAGGTAATAAGGGTTTTTAGTAAGGTAAGAGCGCGTTGTTTAAAAATAAAGGAGGAAACGGGAGGAGGAGGAGGGGTAGAATCTGTATACTCTCTTCTTCCCTCAGTTTGGCTGACTTACCTCCTTGCTCTCCTCTGACTCATCTAACCACTCCTTTTCATTCTCCTTGGCCAATTTATGATAGTCTTTCTGCCCTTCGACATAGATGCCCTTCAAGGTTCCACCCTTGGAAGGAAGTTGAAAAGGAAAGAAGCATTTATTAAATACTTACTGTATGCTAGGAACTGTGCAAAGTGCTCAGGATACAGATACAGCCAATTGTTTTCATTTGTAGCACTTATGTTCTATAAAGTTGCCACAAACACTGAATTAACAATATCTCCTAGGGGAGATACAGCGTTTGGTTTCTGAGAGCCTTTGATCACTACATTTTCATCAACTAATCAATACATAACCTTGTTTTATGTGTTCTGTTTAAATTAAAGTTACCTTATTTAACATATATTTCTTACACATAATTATATGGGAATTTCCTCTTCCTTTTTCTGAATGTACAATATTGTCGATTTATTAACTGACGGCAAACAACACTATAACTCATGCATTATCTAAAGTACATTCTTTCTCCATAAGACATCACAGCCGTCTGTGCTTTGGCAATACTAGAGAACACTTCAGCACTATGCCTGGGGGATATTCTAAACAGCTAAATCACCAAGAAAAAAGCGCAAAAATGCAAAAAAAAAATTGCACTAAATAGACAGTAAAAAGGACATGTGTTTACTGAGATGAGAGCTGAAACAAGAAGACAGAGCATTGCCTTGTTTGACCTCACCTGGCAGCTTTCGCATAGGATGACTCAAACTTTTCACCACTCTGCACATGTCCAAGAATGACCAGAAAAGTGCCTCAAGTATTGATTTTGAGGTTACAAATAAATTTTAGTGACTAGAGGAATTCACAAATATGGAATCCATGAATAATGAGGATTGATTGTATAAGCAAAAAGAACAAAAATCCCTGGCCCTAAGGAGCTTTTATTCTAAGAGGGGAAGACAATACACAAAAAGGAGCTGATAAGTTGGACCATGATTGGACCATGGCCATGATTCTGAAGTCAATCAAGTTAGCAACAGGGAAGGGCAATGAAGGCAGGCTGGCCTGAGCTCTTGCAGACAGGTACTCCACGTCAAGCAGTGGTAATAAGATGTTCCAGGGCAAGGAGGCCCCAGGCACTGAGGAAAGTACAAGCATGAGATAACGGTGCAGATAGAATTATGAAATCCAGAAAGTCAGAAACAGGACCTGAAGGTATTCTTCCCTATACTCTCTCCCTTGATTTCCTCACAAGCTTCCATAAGTTCAATCATAACCTTTATGCAGGTGACATTAAAATCTATGTATACGGCCCTCATATTTCCTCTGAACTCCTGTTCATCATTTCTGACTATGTGCTAGACCTTTCCACTTGGATATCCCATTGGTACCCCAAATTCAACACATCCAAAATGAAACTCATTATCTCTATGCCCCTCCCCCCCACCAGGCCCTTTTCTCCTTCTATCTTCCCTATCTCTGTTGAGGGCAGCACAGCTTCATAACATCAGCATCATCCCTGACTCTTCCTTTTCCTTCAACCTCTACATCCCATCATTGCCAAATCTTATAAATTGTACCTCCACAATGGCTCTTATGTCTATCCCATTTTCTCCACTCACATGACTACCATCACGGTTCGGGTCTTCATCACCTTTCACGTGGATGATTATAATAGTCATTATAATGAGATTATAATGAGAACATTAATCTCTCTGCCACTAATCCCTCCCAAATCTCTTACCAAAATCATCTTCCTAAGGCACAGATTTAGCTATGTCATTCCTCTGCTCAAAAAGCTTTTGGTGGATCTAGACATATCTTATTATCTGTAGAATGAAATATTCCTTAGCCAGTTTCCAAGGTCTTTTACAGTCTGACTCTAATCTACCTCTTCATTCTTATATCATAATATTCCCCTTCACACATTCCATTTCCTAGATAAACTGTGCTACTAGTTGTTCCCTGAACTTGATGTGTTATCGTCTTTTGCCTCCATGTATTTGCATAAATCATCTCTCCAGCAATTTGGAACTATGCCCAAAGGACTGTAAAACTGTGTATGCTCTTTGACCCAGCAATATCACTGCTAGGTCTGTACCTCAAAGAGATTTTTTTTTAAAGTGAAGGGGGCAATATGTACAAAAATATACATAGCAGCTCTTTTTGTGGTGGCAAAGAATTGGAAATTGAGAGGATGCCCATCAATTGGGGAATGGCTGAGCAAGTTGTGGTATATGAATGTAATGGAATACTATTGTGCTGTAAGAAATGATGAACAGGCTGACTTCAGAAAAACCTGGAAAGACTTATATGGGCTGATGCTGAGTGAAGTGAGCAGAATCAAGAGGACTTTGTACACAATAACAGACACATTATGCAATAACTAAGATTGTTAAACTGAACCTTTCTCAGCATTATGAGGATCTAAGACATTTCCAGAGGCCTCGGG